GTAAATATATATTTCAATTTAGTAGGTAAAAATGTGTATTCCATGGCCTTATTCATAAAAAATAAAGTAGATTTAAAGAGCTTTTTAAAATGACGTTTTCATACATTTTTCAGTTTATAAAGATTTTTTAAAGCTACTTTATTTTTTATGAATAAGGCCATTACACTCTAGACATGCACACTCGTATGTGCGTATATACATATATGTATAAAAAAAATAAATGCAAGAAAGAGAAAAAAAATGAAACAATTAATTCATGTACATATGTATGCAAATAGGTATGTATATACGTATCCGTGCACAAATCCTCACGAGAGGAAGAACATAACAACATTACTTACGGGCGTATAAACCTATGTACATACATATAGGTAATTACTATGCGCAAATCACTTTTTTATAACAAACAAATAAGAGTGTATAAAGAAAAGAAAAAATGGAAACTTCACTTACATTCTTTATGGTCGGTAATGCAGTCCCACGAAGCGAAGAAGGCCTTCCTTGCTTAGCACTTGTTGCTGATTCGACGCGCTGAAATACCTTTTCTTTTTTTGTTGTTATTAAAAAAAAGTATTATATCAAAAAAAAACTTATGATTTGCACTTTTAAGTCGCGGTAAAAAAAAAATTAAAATCTAAATATACAAAACGTAAATCTAAACAAATTTTTAATTCTAAGCGGGGCTTAGTATATGACCCAGACTGTATTTTAAGCGCGAAGGTGCGATCAAAAGGAATTCAAAAGTTGATCGCTATGGGGGCGCAAAGAAAAAAAAACAACAAAACCATAGAATATTAGCAAAGTCAAGAAGTTAATCTGAGGTAAATACTCATCATTAGAGAAGATAAAAATATATGCGAAAAATCCCGTTTTATGCGCTTAAAATAATCACAAAAATCAGCGAAATATGCTCAATAAACAAAAAAAATATGCACAATAAAATTCTTTAATTTTGATTAAAAGAAAGACTGTTTTACTGTTAAAGAACAAATGCATTTATTTCAGTGTCAGTCTTACAATACCTCTACCGCATTAAGCCTCTGATTTTAGTTACTAACTAATTTAAACCGTGAGCAAAAAAACTTAAATAATAAAAGTGAATATACTACAAATTGTATATGTACATTAGACTGCATCACCAAAAAAAGTTGCGGGTTTTCCACCGGGATTACAAAGTTTATTATATTTTAAGACGTCCACCAAAATATTTCGGAAAAATATTTAGATTTAAGTGAGCTGGATCGATTTGAAAATACCTCCAAAAATGTAGTTTTTTATGAATAAAAATTGTTTCTTAACCCATATCATCCCAAGTATGTTTAAATTCCTCGGATTCGCGTAAGACTCATAGAAATTCACGTTAGTACCCTCCTGAACAAGAGCATATATTGGAAACAAAACAATTTTATTCAGTTTTTCGTTTTTAGTACCGTTCCAAAAATGGAACAATAGGAAGATATGCCTCTGTGATAACTGTATTGTGCATGTAGTTTCAGATGATATAAAATAAAATATTCTTGTGTTTATTGGTTATTTATTTAATAAAAAAGTACTTATAGTAACACATACATATCTTATAATTTATATAAAAAAGTTACATATGTATAGGATAAGATAAAAATACTTTACTTTGTATGAAAAACTGGAGAACATTTTTGGTGTAAAGCAACGTTGCATTTTTCGCATTTCATGGTAGTATTTTTATGGCACATACCACAGCGGCTTTGTTTGTTATTTTTTATTATGTGATGTGCCTTACCATCTAGTCTTATACTAGTTGGAACTCGTTTGATGACCGCCAGAGAAGATCTTGGCAACAAATTTTTCGTAGTCGAGGGTGAGGTTACTGGTATAGTTTTTGTCAAAAGATACGATGTTACAATATATCTTGTAAAAGACAAGAAATCATGGGACTCATTCTGCGCAACTGGGGACAACCTGTATAATTGGTAAGCGTTGTTGACACAAACATTTATTGGAAACATTAGTAGTTGCCAATACCATCTTTTCAAACGTATAGAAATCCGGTAGCATCCCACATTTTGGTCCAAACGATCCACGCCGCCCATGTACTTATTGTAATTTATGATACATCGAGGTTGATCAATATCCTTTTTTTGCTTCTCACAATAACGCTTGACTTTTCCAATAGGCTCCACGCCGGATTGTGTCGACGCTACAGTAACAATATTATTGTCATTATATCGAACGAGGGTAATATTCGACAAAGTATCTGTGCATTGATTGTAAGATCCTCTTATCGTCCTCTTCATGGTTTTTGGGTCTTTTAATGGCGCTTTTTCTACTCTATTTGCTCTAATTGTTCCTGTCGCATCGTGTCCTAATTTAATTATTTCATCCAACAGAGGTAAAGAAGTAAAATAATTATCCATATAAAAACTGTAAGATCCAGGCGGAAGTTTTGATATAAGATCTAAAACTACAGAAGCACCAACACCTAGTTCTGGGCGGGTATTTCCCGTCTTCGCTCCTTGATAAAGCTCTCCGTAAATCAAATAACCAAGTCGAGTGCATATAGACCAGTTTTTATAACCGAATCGAATTGGCTTTCCTTGAATATGTTGCTTTGCTCCATGCTTTCCATAATATGGGATCATTGACTCGTCAATGCTCAAGTTTTTATCGCCGGGAAAATATTTCACCCATCTTTCGTTACATAGATCCCATAAAGGACGAACCTTGGAAAACTTATCTTCTTTATCCAGATTATTATTGTCAGAAACGTGAAAATATCGCAACAGTTCCTCAAATCTATTTCGAGACATAGCAGAAGCTACACCATGAAAATTGCAATCGACGCTTTGCTCCCAGTACATTCGGTATCTGGCAACATGGTTATAACCCGATAGCAATAGAATGCCAATAAAACGCTTTATTTCTTCAGTGGTAACTCTAAAATTATGATTTCCCTTCTGAATGGCATTTTTTTCAGTTTCAGAGCGAATGAGTTCAAAAACTTCTGTATCAAAAAAAAGTTCGAAAAACTGTAAAGGATTGTCAAGATCCTCTAGAAAATTAGGTGGCTCTGAGACCTTTTCTAGTTTCTCTGGAATATCTGTGTGCGTCCACTTTCTTTTAGTTAGGCATCTTTTTTTTAATGGAGGAGCTAACGTTGCGGATGTTCTGGGTGTTTCATTAGTTTCATCTACGACTGAGTCATTCAGAAGGTCTTCAACTGTGCCTAATTCATTATGAGATGATACTGTCGCTCGAAATTCAGCTTCCGCTAATAGCTGGCGTCTTGACAAAGTGTTTATATTAGCAGATTCCTCATCGCCGCTATCTTCGTCGCTCTTATCGTTGTTTTCCGGGGGCGTTATGTATATATCTGCGGACAATACATCGTCATCTTCTTCTAGTTGTGAAATAATTTCATTTAAGGACAATCTAAAACAAAACCAAATAAATAACTGAACAAAACTAAGTCCACTTCTGCATACATCTTACATTGGTATATTATCCTACTGTTCCAATAGTGGAACGGTATATATAGAAGAACAAAAAAATACACTAGCAAGTTAAATTTCTGTTTTGTTGTGCAATGATATTATAAATAAACTTACGACTTATAAAAATTAAGAATAATAATGTGTACTATCATAGCTATAAATAAAAATTACTTACATTTTACGACGAAACATTTTCTTGCCAAAAATTTCTGCAAACAGCACGAATTAAAACACAAACTAACTGCCACACCAAAATTTTAATACTGGAATTTAAAAACCGACTCCTTCAAAGTTGTCACTACACAAAAAGAATTACGATGACATTCGCATAAAAATAAAATTAAATCGTAATAGCAACCTATCCAAAAATGGAACACTAGGATGATATGGGTTAAAGAACTTTTTCAAAAAAGTCCCCTCAGATGACAAAACAGATTAAACTTAATAAATCTGTATAAAAAAAAATGTAAAAATCTTTTCAACGGAATCGTAAGAATGAGATATTTGGTGCTGTTTTTTTTTTACTTTTTTCAAAGATTGATTTACGAAAAAATTGAATAACTGGGCCAAAACTATTCTGATTTAGACTTATGGGATGTCAGTTCAAAGGTATTTTCACACTGTTTTTATTTCTGTCCAAAAAAAGGCATTCGTGTCCCAATATTTTTTTTCAAATACCAACACATCTTAATTCAACTTTGAATGACGTTCCTTCATCCTACCTTTCTCTTTCATCCTTTGAATGAGTTTATTAGTAAAGAAATAAAAATGTAGAGCAAATACAAGAGCATTGCAAAGAATAATCATTTTGACATAGAATCATCTGACACTGATTTATTCGATCAGTTCACATATTTGGAAAAATACGTTACCCCAGAGAAGATCCAATCGTGGGAAGAAAATAACACTGACACCGATGAACGCTGGGTTGAATGCTTTCGACATTTTGACCAAAAGAAGGTCCCATACAATCACATGGCGAGAATCGTATCGTATGTTCTCTGCTTACCAGGCACATCAGCTACCGTTGAACGCGTATTTTCTTTGATCAATCAGATTTGAAGCGATGAGAAATCACAACTGAAAATCGAGACATTGCGGGATCTTTTGTTCGTTCGGTACAACATTAAAATGACTTGTACGGAATTTTTCGGATTCGTAAAGAAGCAACCTCAAATGCTGAAAGAAATTGCATCAGATGGAAAATACGCGTTCAGGAAAACCACTCAAGATCAATGAATTGATTATATAGGCCGACACTTTCGTAATTTAGCAGCAATTGCATTATTTCAGCTTTGAATGTATATATGTACCTAAATATTTCTCAATTCGCAAATAAATATACTGAAGTTTGTACGTCAAAAATGTGTTTGGATATCGACTAATAAACAGCAATAAAATCGTTTCCAAAATTTTTCTTTAAAATTTTGTGTTGCTACAATCTTTTGTGTACGTAAATGAGTTTTTAAAAAAGTGGTCACACTACATATGTATACGTGAAAAATTCCATGTGAATTATGACTGCGATCAAAAATTGGTTTCAAAATTTTTATTTTATTTTTTTAGGTTGACAACAACAACAAATGTTCACTAAAATTTCGAACATTTGAATCTGAATCTTAATAACAATGTTAGTCTAATAAAGTGCTAGTTTCAAGGGGCTAAAAAATTTAATGGATTGTTAAAGACTTTTTTTGCTGAGGGATTTTTGTACTTTTTTTTCATATAAACATGAGTTTAATTTGAAGTTAAATGCGCAAGACCGTTCGCAAAGAAATTCCAAAAAATCAACGCCAGATTTTATAAAATGCACTCGTTATACAAAAAAATATTTAAAAATCAACGCGATTTTTAGCCCCTTTAAACTTGCACTTTATTATACTAACATTTTTTGGGCTATAAAACTGCACACCCAAAAATGTCCTAAGATTCAGATTCAAAAGTTCGAAATTTTTGTGAAAATTTGTTGAATTTATCTAAAGTTTGTAATAAGTTTGAAAAATTGATTTATAAGTTTTGGTTAAAGCATGAAAAATATTTTTTTTAAACAATAACAAAAAAATTTTAACTTGAAAAACATTATAGATATCAAAAAAAATCAATATGTGAACACTTGAATGAGCCCTTGTATGTAGAATTTATGGAATTTTCGTAGGTGGTACTGAAAAAGGCATAAATGTATATGAAAATTCCAAGCATTGGTATTTTGCGAACAGCTGCGCGCGCAGATTTGACAAGTGCATGACTAGATATTTTGTGTATGTGAAAGAGAGATGACTGTATGCTGCCAGATTTTTTATGTTAAAATTAAAATATATGTAAGGGATGCATTTATATAAATTTAAAAAACACTAACAAAAGATTTTTAAATAATCTTTTAACAAAAAATATGCCGAAACTATGCTTGATAGTTAAAATATGCGCTATAACTTTAAATATGCTATCACATCGAAAAATGGCAAAAATATGCTTTTTATGCAAATGCATATTTTTATCTTCTCTACTCATCATTAAGGAGAGCAAAAACAAATAGAAGAAGTGTTAAATTTTTGATAATGTTGAGTTAGGTTAGTTATTGGTGTAGATCCACCACATGGTTTCAATGTGCATATTAATGTAACAAGCACAATGGTATGTGCATAAGCATGTACATTGCTTTTACAGGCAAGTACGAAAATCGAGAATTGAAATGAAATTAATTTAATCTAAACTAAACAAAATATGGTTTAGAACTGAAGATTCGATACGGTCCGAATTAATTTAAACTAAGGAGTGGTGAAAGGTAAGTATTAGGAAGTAAGTATTAAGAGGTGAGTATTACTTATATATGTATTTAGTTAAATTTAATCCAAATTAACTTTTGTATTATTATTATTATTTTTTGATGTGTATACATCTTTGGTTTCGGTAGGGGTAAAATTTGCGAAGCTGTAACGCATATCCCAGCACAAAATTTCGAAGGGCTTAGCATGTGTATTTCAGCATAAAATTTGTATTTTCATTAGAAGCACCCTGTGTTTGCTTGCCAAATGGTTGCATACATTTAGGCATATGCATAGTAAGAGGAAATGGGCTTCAATTGACTATTACTTCCGATTACTTAAACTCCGCACATGCATACGGCTTGTACCTATGTATGTACATAAATATGTATGAACTCATTTGTTGCAACTGGGCATGAATCACGTAACTTTGAAACGATAGTCGTTCAAACGATACTGACAAAATGATGTTGTCAAAACACTGATTTATGCATTTGTGTTCCGTTTACTTGTTAATAGCCGTCATCGATTCGCCACTTCGCTGCTTGCTATGTTTGAGTTCCGGTCGCTTAATGAAAAATTTTGCATGTTAAAGCAACAACAAAGTTAGTTAGCACGGATAGACGATAGCGAGTTTGGTTGTACCTCATTGTATTCGTTCGTTTCGCCACTCGCTAACTGTTGGCGAATCGATGACGGCTACAGTTACTGTTACGTGAAGCAAAACTGGAATCGAGTTGACGATATCGCACAAACGATGAAACAATTTTTGATTTTTATGAAGCAAGACAATCTCGACACGATATCGTTCAGACGAATGTCGCCATACGTGATTCATGCCCTGGTTTTGATATTCGTAGATGGTTTTAGGCATAGGTTTAGTATTCTATTTTGGAAAATATAGGAATATATACAAATAGAAATGCTCAAACTATAAGCTCAAAAACAATAACTGATGCGGTGTTTCCAAGATATTTTAATGCCCTTGAGTCACAAGTATATACAAGTATATTTTATCAATCATACCGATAATTTCATGTATTAAAATAATTAAAAATGAAAATGAATAAAAAAATTACATCAGAAAAATGAATAAAATTAAGTGAAATTAATATTTAATTTCTAACCTAACCTACATTTGTATGTATGTAACTGAATCGCTTAATAATAGCTTTACATATAAAAAGATTATCCTAATTTTCAAGCTTAACTCCCTAATCTGTTATTAGAAAAAGAGATTAGCCATGCAAAATTATAATTAAAAATATCACAGATTAAACCGATAACTTTTTGGTGTCCAACTTAGTTTTATCGATTATACTTGCGAAGAAGAGCAGGAATGTCAAATATTAAAGTAAACAAAAATTGACGCTAGTAAGGAAAATAGGTTTGTAAAGGTATTTTTAATAAAATATTCAGTTATAAATATATTTAAATGGCCTAATAAGTGACCACGGTGGCACAGAGAAGAAGTTTAACTTTTCCTCGAGTTATGTGAATAACAAGCACAACCAATTTGACAGCTACCGAGCTGTGATTGAGATTATATTTATATGTAAACGTACTTTTATGCTTTGCCGTTCGCATATGTATACACATCAAATTTCATGAGTACCTAGTACTCACGCCTTTTTTTTCCTACAGGTTATTTTTTTTTATCGCAAATCGCGTAAAGTAAAATTTCAATTTCAAAAAAAAAAAAAATGAACTCAACGCATTTTAAGAGGCAACTTCTTGAAATTTCTTTAGTTAATTTTAGGAATTAATTTTGTGTAAATTTCAGTTCAAATATTATTTCTTTTGTTCACAAGCACATGAGTGCACGAGAATGTACCTACTAAGTATATGTACATATATGTATAAAAGCAACAATGAACACTTTTGTTTTTGAGTGCTATACGTTGAAATAATTTTAACTGGCTTGATTCGCCGACAGCAGCCCCTACTGGAAGTGGTCTGGTCCCGATGACTTGCTGACAAGAAGGGACTTTGTATCCGTCCACGTCGCTGCAAAACTGGTCCAAATAAATTCCTAATGCAAAGGAGTCCTGTTAGCACTCGAAAACAAGTATACTGGATTTTCTACCTCTACATTGTAATTAAGGTAAAAAAGGAGATTCTTACAAGTTCAAATATGATGAGCGGAAAGTGGGAGGCTCCAGAATAAAATATTAAA